GAGTCTTGTGGGTACTAGGTACCATCTGTACAGGATCTTGCGGGATAGCTCCATGTGTGTCGTGGATAGTGTCATTCGTTTATTCGCACAGTAGATGGTTTGCCATTGTTCTGCGGTCAGCCGGTGACCTATGTCTTGTTCCCAGACTTTCATGAAGGATGGTGGTTTGGTCAGTAGTCGTGTGTTTTCTGAGGCATATATTGTGGAGATGATTTTTGTGGCGGGTTTAGTCTTTGTGCACATTTTAATAACTGTTGTCCAGTGTGCGTTTGGTGGTTGTATCATTTGTGGTGTTGGCTGGGCTAGCACCCACGATCTCAATTGCCTATAGGAGAAGGTTGCTGTGCCGGACAGTTGGAATTCTGTTCGAAGATCTGGCATTGGCTTAAGTTTGTTGCCTTGCATTATTTGTGAGATGGTGTTCACCCCATGTCTTTTCCAAAGTCTATAGTTAAAATCCGGTATCAATACTCTGAACGCGTCCAATGGGAGTGCTGGGGAGAGCGTTGCTGTGTCTCCCATTTTCTTACGATATGTGTCCCAGATTGTAAGGGTCAGTGCGGTTGTGGGCAGTAGTTCGGTGGCTTTTGGCCTGTGGGTTTTTGGTAGCCATGCTAGGAGTGGAAGAGATAACCCCTGTGCGTGGCTTTCTTCTATTTCGGCCCAGGATGTGGGTTCTTGTCTGTGTGAGATAGTCACCAGGGGGTTATGTGGGCAGCTCTGTAGTACCCCATGAGGTCAGGGAGTCCCATTCCACCCTGGGCGGATGGTCTGTGCAGGGTTGTCTTAGCGACCCTCAGCTTTTTATAGTCCCAGATGTAGTTGTTTAGGATGGTCTGCAGCTCTAGTAGGTAACGTTTCGGGAGCTTGATCGGCAGGGTGCGGAATAGGTATTGAATTTTCGGTAAGATTACCATTTTCACCGCTGCTATACGGCCTGTCCATGAGATATATTTGCCTTTCCAGTTTTGTAGGATAGTTTGGATTTCTGCTTGTAGTTTGGCATAGTTTGCCTTATATAATGCATTCGCTTTGGGAGTGAAGTTGACCCCTAGAAATTTAATGTGGTCTCTCCTCCAGTCATATGTGAAGTTTAGCTTCAATGTTGTCAGGTCTGTGTGTGGAATGTTTATGCCTAGTGCAAGGGTTTTTGCGATATTTAATTTGTAATAGGAACATTTACTGTAGTTGGAGAGAATTTTGTGAAAATTTGGCAGTGACACGCTTGGTTGTTCAAGGGTTAGGAGGATGTCATCTGCAAATAGGGACATTTTGTGTTCCCGCCTTTTTACTGTGATGCCGTGTATGTCTGGGTGTTCTCGGATGAGTTGGGTAAGGGGTTCTAGCGCTAGGATATAGAGCAGTGGGGAGAGTGGACATCCCTGTCGAGAACCATTAGATATGGTGAACGGTTTGGATATAAATCCCCCATTTACTACTCGGGCGGTTGGTGACGAGTACAAAGCTTTGACTAGCGATAGGAATTGATCAGGGAAGCCGAATTTTTGTAGGACTGCTAGTAAGAAGGGCCAGTTTAGCCTATCGAAGGCTTTTTCTGCGTCCAACGATAACAGAACTCCAGGGTTCTTTTTAGTTTGCATCTCATATAGCAAGTTTAGGGTCTTTCTCGTGCCGTCTGCTCCCTGTCTGCCCCCTACAAACCCTACCTGGTCTCTTCCTATAATTGTGGGGATTATGTGTGTTAGTCTATTAGAGAAGATTTTTGCCAGTATCTTTATGTCCGTGTTCAAAAGGGAGATGGGCCGTAAGTTCTGACATTTGTTCGGTGGTTTCCCTGGTTTGGGAAGAGTGGCGACATGTGCCATAAGCATCTCTGTTGGTAGTGTCCCCTGTTGTAGTGCGTGTTGGAAAACTCTTTGAAGATAGGGGGCTATGTTAGGGGCAAAGCGTTTATAGTATAGGTTAGTCAGTCCGTCCGGGCCTGGAGACTTCCCTTTCGGGAGGGAGTTGATGGTGTCCGTTATTTCGTCTATTGTGATGGGCTTCGTGAGAGTCGTTTGTTGGACGGTCGTAAGTATGGGTAATTTGACAGAGGTTAGAAATTCATCTATCTCCTGTTTTTTGGGTTGATGAAGTGTCTTGTCCAGGTTGAGGTTGTAGAGAGAGTGATAGTAGTCAGCCATACAGTCGTTTATGTCTTGCGGGTTGTGGATTTTGTCTCCCGCATTGGTGGTCAGGAATGGGATTTTGGAGTTTGCCTGTTTCTGCCTGAGTACGTTAGCTAAGTGTTTCCCTGCCTTATTACCTTGGGTATAGGAGTTCAGTTTTGTGAGGATGTAGGCCGTCTTTTCAAGCGCCTTGGTGTTGAGTTGATTAGTGAGGTCCTTGATGGTTTCCGCAGATGTGTCTGTCGGGTTCAGGAGGTGGGCCGTCGTGGTGTCTCTCAGTCTTCTGAGTAGATCTATGAATGTTTTGTTGCGTTGACGGTGGAGATATGAGGCTCGGCTAATCAACTGGCCCCGTAGGACTGTTTTATGAGCTTGCCAAATAGAAAGTATTGATGCTTCTTGGTTGTCATTTAGTTGAAAGTAGTTTCTTAGGTCCTCCGTTGGTTTTGTTACATATGAGTCGTCGTATAGAAGCGTGTCATTTAGACGCCACGGTGGTTTTCCTCTGTGCTGGTATTGATTGTGCATTGTAAGGGTCACCGGCGCGTGGTCAGACCACACTATGTTTCCAATGGTGCAGTCTTCCACCTGTGAGAGCAAGGTGCCCGATATAAGTATATGGTCAATTCTGGAGTAGGTTTTATGTGTCTGTGATAGAAATGTGTATTCCCTTGCCAGGGGGTGTGTTGTTCTCCATATGTCATATAACCCGTATTCTTGAGTTAGCTTTACTAGCGCTTTGTTTGCGTTTTTCAATTTTACATGCCTGTTGGAGTCGCTAGGCGTTGTTGAGTCTATACGTGAGTCTATGGTGTGGTTGAGGTCTCCACATATAACCAATGGGGTTGTTACTTCTGTGGGTATATTCCTAAGGACTTTGTGCAGAAAGTTGCGCTGTTGGTCGTTTGGACTATAAAGGCACACTAGTATGATTGGGTTATTATTTATTATACATTGCAGGATCACGAATCTGCCTTGGCTGTCCTTCTTGACCCTTAGTGTCTCTACTGTAAGGGAGTTGTGTAGGAGAATAGAAACTCCCTTGGATTTTGAAGTGTGTGTTGCATGATATTGCAGGGGGTAATCTCTTGCAGCAAACGTAGGGATGCGGTTGGTGACAAAGTGGGTCTCTTGCACACATACTATGTCTGCTTTGGTTCGTTTGAGATCGTCCAGGAGTAGTCACCTCTTGTGTGGGGTGTTTAGACCTTTAGTGTTGTGTGAGTAGATGATCATGGTGTGGGTAGCGGATGTAGTGTGTTACGTTGGTGGGGGTGTCGTTCCGTCAATGTCGGCGGAGTTGGTCTGCAGATGTTGTTTAGCAGCTGCCCGGGAACTGGGGGGGAAGGGAGAAGCTAGGGGGTGACAGGGGTGTTGGGTTATATACAGGTGACCTGTAGGTCTGGCACTGTGGTCATGCCGTGGGGGTTTGGAAGTAGATTTCCAATTGGGTGGCTAATTGGGCTCCAATGTGTAGAACTATTTGGGGCCGAAACCGTTGTCAGAGATAAGAACATAAACATTTGTAACAATTTCAAACAGTTGCAAACAAAGGTCAGTACTTTTCCTTTTGTGGGAGGCGTGCAAGTATCAACTGAATATACATTCATTGCCATATTTATGATTTAACAGTCATTAGCATTGTGTCTTACACGTGTATTTTGAAAGCAGCTCTAGGTGCCGTGCGTCTATCGGTGGTGTGTGACGCTTTCCCCTTAAGGGGCGTGTCGGTAGACACAATACTTGCTTGTCAATAACATTGTGGGGGCCTTATACATCGTGCCCGGTTACGGTATTTCATACCGTTAGGGTGTTGAACTGCACCGTGTCCTGGGGGGTAGTGTCAGACCTGCTCCCCGAGTCATATATTTAGCAACTTTCCGTGGTGTGTAGCGCCTGTTTTAAGTTTAGCTATGTTGCCTAATGCAGATACATGGGCGGCCTACTATATACAGTTACTGTTGCCTGTTTGGGCAGTTTAATTATGATCTTAGTGTGGTCACAATTTTATTTACAGTGCCGCATCCATAGCTGTTCTAATTGGGTAGATCTCCTGGGCATTTACTCAACCTTATTGTAGCCTCCCAGCCGTCATGCGTTAACATGGGTGCATGTGGCGTAATTCGCTGGCGAGTGTTTTAGCCATAGTAGCCTTGTATGGGGGCTTTAGAGGTGCCTACGTGGTCGAGTGCAGGCCTTTTAGCATAGTGTGTTATGTGTGAAGTGCATTGGCATGGGTGTGGTATTTGCGCCACTGATGGCCCTTGGTGTTGCTCGGCCCGTGTGTAGGCCCCATATATATGACATTATATTTACATGATAATTATATACAGTTCAGGTATACTTGCAGTGAGCATGCCTCTAGTGGCTGAGTAGTCTGTACGACCCTGAATGGTTTGTTCAGCCTTTGTTCATATTGCGGCTGGGCCTGGGGGAGCTAGACTTTGTTCCCGTGGTGGAGTTATGGTCTAGGCCCCAGCTGGCGAGCAGTTTCTTCCCTTCCTCCGGGGTCGAGATCTGCACCATTTTCCCGTTTTTGGTGAGTATAAGTTTTGTGGGAAAACCCCACCTGTATCTGATGCCGTGGGTGCGTAGCTCCGTGGTGGTGTGGAGGAATTCCCTTCTGCGTCTGAGGGTGGCTGCGGAGATGTCCGCCATGATGCGTATTGTGGAGTAGTCCTCGTGTGGGTCAGCCCTGCTACGATGTGTCCGGAGGATAAGCTCTTTTATATGGTAAAAGTGGACCCTCAGGAGGACGTCGCGGGGTACAGAGTCGGGTAGTTGTTTTGGCTTGGGCACCCGGTGGACTCTGTCCACGAGGAGCATGTCCGTCGGTATGTCTGGGGCATATGCGCGGAGTAGGCCCTGTACGTAAATTGGCAGGTCATCCATGAGGACGGTCTCCGGTACGCCGCGCAGTCTCAGGTTATTGCGCCGAGCTCTGTCTTCTTGGTCCGCTACTCGGGCTTCCACATGTTCCATTTGGCATTGCAGGGCCTTTAGTTGTTGAGACAGGTCCTCTTGCGCCGATGATAGTTCTGTGCAGTGTTGCTCCACAGATGTGGTCCTCATGGAGAGATCCCTCACCTCTCGCTTAATCTGTTCCGCGGTCGTTTGCCATGTGGCTATCAATTTAGTTGCCATGCCCTCTATGGCTTTTTCAAAGAAGCCTTTTGTGAGGTATTCTGCAGGTTGTAGTGTTTCTGGGTCCGTGTGCGGCATCGTGGTGTCGGAGTCCTCCGCGCCATCTTGTGCAGCCGCCCCCCGTATAGTTTCACTCATGGGTTGCAGTTTTTGTCCGAAGAAGCTAATTTTTTCTGCCTTAGCAGCAGATTTCTTTGTTTTAGCGTTTGCCATCGTTTTGTAGGTTTCTTAACGGTTTCAGCGATGTTTGGAGTAGATTGTAGGGAGCCCATGTGCCGGAGCGAGTTTACTGAGCAGCCATCTCGTTCTGTGGTTAGCCACGCCCCCCGTCTATCTCTATTTTTATGGACAGAATCCATATTATTGTGTTAGTAGTTGTGTCTATTTTAGATTAATTCTTATAATTATACATTATTTCATGCTTTTAATTTTGTGGGTTTTATATGTCATGGATGGAGGAATTGATGATTTGTGATTATGATCTTAAGTTAAAATGGTAGTAATGTTTAATTATTTACGTTCATATCCTGCAAGGTACTCTAATAATTGTCTCTTTTCCTTTCAGCTTTCAGCTCTTTTCCTTCCTCCATGACTGTTTCCAACTCACTTGTTGCCTGTTGGGAGTTTACTTATCCCCTAAAGCACTTTTTTTTTTAACTGACTGTGTCCTCCTTTTTTTAATTTTACAAAAAGTGCAGATTTCAATTGATAGTGCAACTTTTATAAATTAACCTTGTTACACCCCTATTGATCAGACAACCAGTCCTGTCACTTTCTGGTTGTGGATTTAAACTGCAGCAATTGCTCAGAGAAGATTCCTTCAAATACTTCTGATTTAGCTGGATACACAACCCTCATACACAACCTCACAACAGCCTACATCCAATAAATGCAACCATGCAATCATCATTCCCTTCACATCCACATAAGCAGCATATCCCAGACATACGCAACCTTACAAACAGTCTCCCCTCAAATACACACTCCCGCAGCTTCCCCACACATGCACACAACACCACTAGCAGCATATCCAGAAACAAACAACAAAAGTAGCCTTCACTCACAAATGCAACCAGGGCCGGACTGGGGATACGAAGCAGCCCTGGAAAAAAATCTATGCCAGCCCCATTAGTAATTGTGCTATGCATGGTTTTATATATATATATATATATATATATATATATTATTGATACATTTCTTCTTTTAATTCAAAATATTAGTCCTTTCAGGGTAATTAAATTATACAGTAAAGCATACTCACACACAGACACAGACAATCTTACTGATGCACACAAATAGGCTCATTGACAATCTCAATGACACACACAGACAACGTTACTGGCACACACAAATTTAGTACAGACAAACTCTGATACACACATGCTCACTACAGACAAGCTCACTGACACACATATGGTCACTACAGACAAGCTCACAATCACACACATGCTTACTACAGACAAGCTCACTGTCCACACATGCTCACCACAGACAGGCTCCGACACACCCATGCTCCTTATAGACAACACTAACACGCACACACACATATGATCCCTACAGACAAGCTCACTGACACACATACACATCACTAGCAGGCATGCACACACACACACACACAAACTCACTAGCAGGTGTACACACACAGAGGCTCCCTCACTAGCAGATGCACACACACAAAGACATCCACACACATAGGGGCAGACAGTCATTGACACAGAGGCAGACATCCACACACACAGACAGACAGTCACACACACACAGGCAGCCACACACACACACAGGCAGGCACACACGCACAGTCACACACAGGCAGACAGTCACACACACAGGCAGACAGTCACACACACACAGTCACACACACTGACCTGCTTCTTACCTTCACATCCCTTGGAGCTCTTGGAGGCTGGTTGTTGGGGAAGCAGGGACTCCTATCTGCTTCCCATGCTGCACTTACCTGGGCCCCCGCCGCACGCTAAGCTCCGCCCCCGCCGCAATATATATATATATTTTTATGATCCCGGCCATGTGTGAGCTGTGCCGGCTGCCTGCCTCCCCCTGCTCCCATGGGGCCCTGTGCGGTCGCATAGCTCACACATAGCCGGCCGGGATTACAGGAGCCTGAGCAATGAATGTCAGCCCAGCCCCAGGTGCTGCGGCCCACTGGGAAATTTCCCGGTATCCCGGTGGGCCAGTCCGGCCCTGAATGCAACACATCAGACAGCACAAGCAGCCTCCATGCACATATACACACACCACCTCACAGCACTTATCCCAGCACTTATCATCCACCTAGTCACATTCACCATTCAATCATACCCAAGACTAGTTGCATTACCGCATCCTAGCAAATAGCCCAAATGTTTGTTTGTGTATATATATATATATATATATATATATATATATATATGAAATCAATGGGCTGCACTCACCTGAACATGCTTAAATGCGGTGCTTCTGGGGCCAATTTATACAATACACAAGATCCAGCGCACTCACTCATCCACTAAATCCACTAAACAGCAACTTCAAAGCTCACAGATTGTATCGGGTTTTTTTTTTTTAAAAACACCTCATTAAGGCAAAAATAATGGGAGTTTAATTACAGTATATGATCATACATTTCTTTAGCTTCCCGCAACAACAATATACCCTGTCTTTGGCAGGTCCTACTTTAACAGCCTAATGTCTGCTCTTATGAGATTAACCCACTTACTTTGGGAAAAATTCCATCTCTGCAGCACAAGGCTAAATAGGGCCCTGGAATGAGGCACTTGTGACAGGGAGGGATGCAAAACCAAGGAGCACCAAGGAGGGGTTTGGTTGGCAAAGAGGCACACAAAAGGGACCGTTTGAACAAAGAGACACACAAAGTTGTCAAATTTTCTTTTGGGGGGGGTGGGCTGCAAGTAGCTTGTCTTAGGCTTGTCGTAGCCTAGGGTGCTAAACAGTCTAGCATTGGCCCTGTGAATAGGTGAAGATTTTTTGCACAGGGTGCCTAAAGGCATAAGGCCGGCCCTGGTTATGCCCCTTCTTTGGGATGCAACACCGTCTTTCAAAGCAGGATGGCCCACCCTTTTTGTCACTGGCATTCCCCTAGTGACCGACATCATACCTCCCAACATTTCAGATGGATAAAAAGGGATACTTTATTTGAAGGTGTGTGAGCAGGGGTGTGGTCAGAGGCCGGCTGTACTGAGAAATTATAAGTCAATTACTAATAACAATTTATACATCTAAAATGTAATTTAGAACAAGAACACTGTATCCTTTTTCTAAACACATTTATTGTAGTTTAAAAACACTATTATTGCTGTGGAGCTCTGTTATACACTCAGACACCCAACAATATGGAGCACCTAGAAAAGATGGATTAGAAAAGGGTGGCAAGGAGATTTGGGACCAAATAGGGACTGTTCATCTAAAATAGGGACACTTGGGAGGTATGCACACCCACTCCCTGTTCTGACTGCATACATCCAATGGTTACAGCTTTGCTATAGTTACAGCTTGACTTTTGTAGCCTAAATTTTGTAATACCAGTTTCAGTCCACTACAATGTGAAGTTTAGTGGATAAACCCCTAATTGCACCTTTTGTGGATAATTAAATAAGCCAACACTGATAACCATCTAAAATCCTAACATATTCCTAGGATTGTTAAATTGCTTATTTCACAGAACAACAGTCTATACAGTACTTCACAACAAGAGACAGGTCAGCTTATTACAGAAGTTGGAGTAAAACAAAGTAAACTGCAATTGAAATGAGGACAACCGGCACAGAGAGTGACAGAACTTAAAACGTTTTTGGGGCGAGTTAATATCTTGCGCATTTAGCGAAAAAATTATAATTTTTATCTATTAGGAAAAGCATAGGTGGCAGCGCTTTCTCTCTCTTGCTGGCCCCTGGCAGAGACACCTTTACAATATCCACACAGTTATACCGAGACACACACACAAACATATAACCCAAGGTTTTATACAACCCTATCTCGTAGGAGTAAAAACTCCACCTTATTGTTGAAGCACTATACCCTCATATGTTCAGCCATAGACAAACCAAAAATAATGGTGGAACACCACAGCCCTACGATGTCAATAACTGAAGAAACTACCCTGTTTGGTTCGTTAAATTGGATTTTTCTCTTTCGGTAGATAAAACTACCGAACACCGACCACCCCCCTGGTTCATTATCTACAAAGAAAACCACAGGATTAAGTGCTCTCTTGTTCGCATGAAAAGAAGCAGCGGGACATGGTCATTGAGTGTCTGGAACAAAAATCGGACACTCAACTTCCCAAACGCCGGTCAACTTCGCGACCGCCTGCATCTTTTCCCTGACCAGCCAGGAGAGCGCTATTTGTTACGAATTAGGGGAACAAACGCTACCTATGAGCCAGGGGAACAGACCGACTGCTACCTCTGAAACGGTGGAAATATTTTTGGGCATTGAAACATGCGTGAGGCCTGGCGAGGTTAGAAAGTGGTCGATATGGCAATATGAGTAGTGCAGGTTGGAGTAGAATGTCATGTAGAATGTAATGTAGAATGCCAGATGTCTAATACTGGCTGGCAGCTTAGGAATTCCACAAATAGAGTGACGTTCCGGGAAGGTCGTGCCGTTCCTAGATTATGTGTTCTTCAGTTCAGATCTGGGGAATGTACAGCATTGCAATCCCTGCCTATGACTACCTAAATGTTGGTCATGGTCGAGATGTGGAGGGAGACTTGTTGCCAGAATGTGGCATCTGGAATGGACGGTGCATAGAGGGAGCAGAATGCATACTTATTATTGCCTATGCTGCCTGATATTGTAATATATATTGACCCTGAGGGTCTGCTGTTGTACAGATGTCCGAGAGTGGGCAGGAGGACTTCAGTATGATTGCTATACCTTTGTATTTAGTATCTGGAGAGTTGGCAAGGTAGCTAGTTTTATAGTATCTATTTATTAGTGGTATTAGTGCCATTAATATTATTAGTGCCTTTGGGGGATAAGGTGGGTTTCCTGAACTAGGAGAATGTCCACATGTAGTCTGTGTGCCCATCGTAGTAGGGCGTGTCGTTTGGTGGGGGTGTTAAGTCCTTTGGCTTTGATGGATACACATTTTAGAGTCGTGGGCATCGTGAGTTTACAGT